GAGGGAACCGCCAGAAGGCCCTCGGCGCTGGACCACAATGTCCGGGTAGAACAATGGAGGTGGAGATGCTCCTTTATAATCCTTTATAATAATCAAACATTATAATAATCAAACATTTTTTGTGTGTATGTGAACCTTACAAGAGCAGGATAGTCTCCACCTCTTCCCATCAGGAAGGATTATTTTGACTCCATGGCTTTGCTGAGCATTCAGCTGCTGGGGGTAGGAGCTGAATACTTAATTTACACGGAGAGCATGAGTAAGTGTTCCTAGGTCTAATTCTGAAGCACAATTGAAAGTGGATGTGAAGAAAGCTTTTATCAACTACATGGATACACTAACTGCACCCCTTCCTGGAGGACTAGGACCACGTTTTGGTAAAATAGGGGATTGACTGCTGCAGTGCACTTTATGTGGGGCTGCCCTTGATTACTGTTAAGAAAGCAGAGCTAATGCAGAATGTTGTGGCCCTCCAGTTCACTTGTGTAAGTTGCTGAAAACAGGTAAGAATGGTGTTGCATTCATTTCACTGGCTTTCTGTTTGCTTCTGCTCATGAGGCAAGGTGCTGCTTTTTTGCTGTGAAAGTTTACACTAGCTGCATACCTAAGGAAGTGTCTTCTTCCATACGAACCCACATAAGCAAATAAAGATTTTCATGAAGGCCTTACTCAGAGTGCTTTCTGCCTGTGAAATGAAATCTATTATATCACATGGCCTTTTTTGCTGTGGCACCCCAGCTGTGGAATTCTCTTCCTAAGAAGTCCTACCTGCAAGGGCTGGAAACCTTCCTGATGCTGCTGGACTCTAAATCCAATCATCCCTGCCAACTGGCTAAAGTGGCTGAGGCTGATGGGACTTGGAGTCCAACAACATTCTAGAGAACCACAGGCTCCCTCTTCATCCATGTATTTTTAATCTTTTGTTGGAAGCCACCCAGAGTGGCAGGGGAAACCCAGTCAGATGGGCAGGGTATAAATAATAATTAATAATAATAATCCCTGCCCTGCCGCACGTCGTTTTTAGGATGGCGATTGCTCAATTGTTTCAGCAGGATTTTATCAGTCAATCAGAGTCAGTTACCAATGGTGTTTCATCATGGTTTAGGCTGCTTTTTTTAAAAAAAAAATCATAGCCTATTTGTTTGCTGCCTTGCACCTCCTTTTTTGGAGAGTTAAGATAGAAAACCATCACTGCGATGCATGCCCTGATACTCCTACACAGAGCCCTGTTTGTTTAGCCGCAGTCTTTGAGAGAGTGCTGCTCCACGCCCTGCCCCCACACCCCCGCCATATTCCTGCCCAAGCCTGCTGCTCCACGTCAGAGCGGTTTCCACACCTTTCCCCCGAGCCTGTCCCACGCTGGAGCCCTTTCCCACTTCTGCCCAAGCCCATCCCAAGCCAGCACCTCCTCACGAGACAGGGGAGAAGATGTGGAAGGAGCTAATGCAGCTCTCCTACGACATAGGTGAGTTGAGATTTTCGTGTTAGATCCAACTCCTGTTCAGGAAAGTCGGAGGCGCTGAGCCGGTTGCTTCTAACCTCCCATCTGAAGTAGCGTTCTGTGTAAGCGAAAGGCTTCTCTCACCTTCCTTTGCTATAAAAAGCAAGCTTCATGCTTGATGGGTGCTGTGTTACAGGACTTCAGCAGGCATAGGCAAGATAATTGTGGGGCTTTAAGGAGGTGGGTACTTTCTAATAACCAGCATGGAATGGGTGCTTGTCCACACGCCTCTTAAGGGCTGAACCACTTGTGTATGTGTACCAGTGTTTCATCACTTTGTGTCCTTACATCTGAACTTGTGAATGCTCTCCCTTGGAAAGTATTTGAGAACCCAGTATGTCTTCTTTGAGTAGAACTAGGAGAACAACCCAATGTGTGGAGTCCTTGGAAGAAAGGCAGCATCTCAGACGCTAATAGCAAATTCATTCTCCAAGTGTGGCTCGTTCTGTAGTCTCCAAAGGCACCACCCACATCCCAGAGGGAGGTATCAGCAGCCTTGAGGAAATCCCAGGGTTTGCAGAAGTTCAAAAAATCTTTAGGGGAACAGAACTTCTAAGAGAGGGAAATAATAATAAAGAAAAGCCAGTCTGATGAGAATCGAGCACACTAAGTGAACATAGAAATGTAGATGGATTGGTAGAAAGAGGGAAGGGAGGCAGCAGGGGCAGGACTGGAATCGATTATCCTGAAAAGGGGCATGGCTGGCTGGCTGGCTCCACGCGGCAACGTTTTGCTACTAGCACCACTTGGAAAATTAAAAAAGAAAGGAAAACGAAAACCACTTGTGGTTGATTATTCTGTAATGACTCTAAGGCACGTGCAGGATATCTCTGGATATTTCTGTATTCATCAAGTAGGGTGGTCAACTTTCTTTCCTGGCCTTCCTCCAATGCCTTTAACAACTCGATAGCAAAAGAGAAACTTAGCAGGGGAAGCTTTCTCCATCACCGCACCTGCACTCTGTTGAAAAGCTCCGGCTGCTGTATTTCTGCTTGTCAGGCAGTTGTTAAAAATCAGGAGAGCCTTGCCAGGAAAAGAAGCTGGCAGTCCTATTGTTGAGCGGCGATGGATATTTTTGTGCAAATTAACCCTAAGAATCATACATATCCATGACTATTCAGGGCATGCCTAGATACTGTTCTGGCAGTAAGCAGCATGCAAATACAGGATGGCAATGATGAATCATAGAATCATAGAATCATAGAGTTGGAAGAGACCACAAGGGCCATCGAGTCCAACCCCCTGCCAAGCAGGAAACAAAGCCAATGATCTCCCCGTCGGGGAATCGAACCCCGGTCTCCCCGCGTGACAGGCGGGGATACTTACCACTATACTAACGAGGAGCTAATATATGTGGGGCTGTATATGTGGGGGTTTGGTGAGGAGTTTCAGTGTTTCCTGTACTTGACAGTGTTTCATCCCATACTGGTCTTCTCTCTCTCGGTCCTCACAGCCAATAGGAACCTGACTGGATATGTAGCTCATAAGGAGGTTGGTGCAGACTGTGTTAATTGGATTAGACAAGAGACCTTGGACAAGAGGCTCAGGGTCCCCCCCCCCTCACAAGCCTGTCAGAGGCAATGCAGCAAGCAGGAGAAAAGATCTTTGACTTGTCTGTGCCCTATACTCCCCTGCCCTGGAGGATTAGACATGCTCATCAGACGTGCTGTCTACAAAGGGTTTTTTCCATTCTCCACAGTAACATCTACCTGGTGCATGTGGGCGGCAGCTTCTCTTGGCTTAGTATTAGCATATTAGCACCCTAATACACGTTTTCTGGCCATGGAGAACCTGTGGCCCTCCCAGAGGCTGAGCAAGGTGGGGGTGGTGGGGGCCGCTTGACCCTGGTGTAATCCCTGAGGGGGGGGTGACATTGCCGCTGGTGGTGCCCCTCCGGGATGCTACCTGCTGCCGGCGCCCTCCCCCTGGGGACACACGCCACCGCTAGCTCTGCCTCTGCCCATCCCTGGGTGCACTTTCCCAGGTGCCAAAGAGGCTTCCTCTGCCACTGGGCCCTCCAGACGTTGTTGGACTCCCAACTCCATCAGCCACAGCATGATGGGATTTGTAGTTCAGCAACATCAGGAAGGCCACAGGTCCCAACTCCTTGTATGCGTTGCACCAACATGGCTACCAATTTTGGAAAGTCCCTCCCCCCTCCCCAGAACAGTCGGATCATCCGTATTTATTTTTGTGGGCGCTTCCAAGTCTTATACAGTGGGGAGCACTATTCTCAGGGGCATCCCCATGACAAATGCAACAGGTACTTCATGCCTCAGACAGGAAGAACAGCCTCACTCCTTGTGGCAGGACCCTCAAGCAGATTGGCATTCTGTCTCCAACAGTGGCCAGCCGTAGGCACCTGAGAAGATTATAAGCAAAGTTATGACAGAGGATGCCGTCTCTACTCATTATCAAAGCGGTATGGTTGTTTGGAACGGCTTCATTTCGATATCAGAGCCAGAAGCTCTTTATCCTCCACCCACTTGATTGACTAATACTGTATGTTCTTAAGCAGTCACAAGGTGTGGCGAAGACACAGGCCGTCATCCCATCTTGTGGCAATGAATTCCACAAGTGAATGAGCAAAGGTGTGAAGTAATTTAAATGTGTGCTTATGTAAGTTGTAGAACATCGTGTTTGCTCTGTGCATATAATATTCCAGCTGCTATTGTCACATACATAAATGGTTTGGTCATCTTTGGACTTATTTGCTAATACACCCCTAAGCTGCCTACAAACTCATTCGGAAGCCTGCAGTGCTACGGGGCTTCAAGATGCATCGCCCGCCCGCCCTCATTCGCAGAATAGTAAAAATGCAAGTTTTATATGTAAAACTTTCCTTGGCACGGAATATAGAAATCATGCTGCTGCTGATAATGATAATAGTCATATTTTAGCATTCTCCACCATGAGCTCTCCAACTAACCCTGCTGTTCAGGCAGAGATATTCCTGGACCCCTTTCTCTCTCCCCCTCCCCAAAACCCTCTGGCGGCGCTTTTTCGCCAGAAGTGAAGGCGCGCAAAGAAAGCACCGGCCTGCAGAAAGCGTCCCCGCCTCGTCGCGGCGCGCGGGCTGCTGTCCTGCCACGCCAGGTGTGCGTGCGTGCGTGTGTGCGTTCGTGCGCGCGCGCTCGCTGGTTCTGACGACCCGGCCGCCTCCTCGCGTCCCCCCTCAGCCCGGTTTCGGCGGCCGGGGGGGGGGCTCGCGGCGTGGCCCAGCGCGCGCGGCGCCCGAGAGGCGCCGAAGGTGGTGCGTTTCTACCTGCAGCCGCCACTGCGGAGAGAGAGCGCGTGTGGTGGGCCGGCTACGCAGACTTTGAGGGGCAGGAGGAGCGGGTCGAGGAGGGGGGGGGCCCTCCCGCCGCTCGAGGGCTTTGGCGCTGAGTGTGCGTGTGGTGTTTTCGGCGAGTTGGCTCCGGCCCGCTCTCATTGGGCGCCCGCCTTTGCGCCGCGGCCAATGGCGAGCCGGAGAGGGCGCGCGCGAGCCGCCTGCCGGGGGGTGTAGAGGGAGGGGGGGGGAAAGCGTGTGTGCTTCGCTGCGCTGACATTTTTTTGGCGATGCCTCCTGTTACTCCGGCTCTGCCGCTCGCCAGCCCTGCTGCAGCCGGCGCTGCTCCTGCGCCGGCGCTGCTACTCCGGCCGCCGCCGCCACCGCTGCTGTCGTCCAACCTAGCTCGCTCCTAGCGCTGCTGCTGCCTCCGCCACCACCACCAGCAGCAGCACCGCAGCGGACACGGGGGAGGCGGAGGCGGAGGAGGAAGAAGAGGAGGCGGCGGCGGCAGCTGATCCTCTGCCTCGGCGGCTGCCTGCCATCCTGCTGCGCCGCTGCCAGACGTCAGGTGCTGCTCCGGCAGCGGGAGCTCAGCGGGGATGATCCTAGGTGAGTGACGCTGCTGCTGCTGCCTCCTCCGGCTTCTGCACCTCCTTCCTGCCTTCCCGCCTGGGTCTCATTCACTTTTTTGCCCCGGGAATCCCTCCCCCCCCCGACACCCGTCCTGGGAAAAATCCCATACTTATTCCCAAGGCTCCGATCCCTCTCCGACCAACCCCTATGGAGAAGATCCCCCCTCCATAAAAATTGGGATCTTTGGCTGCCTGGGATTCGCGAAACGAAATAGAGAGGGGGTGGGAAGGGGGCAATGTTCCCTATTCCTTAATTTCTCAGCCGTCCCAGTGATGCTGCATAGGGCACAATCTAGACTCGTCTCCCCAAGATCCGGATCGGGAAGGGACGACCGTGTGAATGCCGGGTTGCAGTGCCTCTCGGGTGACGAGTGAAGGGCAATGCTTGGAAGATCGTTCTGCTCGCTTTCGCCCTCTCACCCCATTAGAAAAGGGGTTTGTGGTATTACGAGGGAGCCCGTCACCTTCCTCCCATCTAGCATTGCATCGCCCCCTTTCCCCCTCCCCAAACACAGCTCAGGTCTGCGTCACAAGGTGGAAGTTATTGAACTGTTCTGAACAGCGCTACTTGGGGCGGGGGGGGGGGAGAAGGAGGCACGAGGGCTGGCAATGCGGTGTCGGGAGCCGGGCGGGGGTGGGAAACACGGCAGAGGAGGGGTGCATCGGGGCAAATGTGGGGGGACAAACTACCCAGGGGACAGAGACAGGGCAGCCAGCGATTGCCTCCCTTGCACACCCACGGAAACAGGGCACCCAGATCTCCAGCAAGTTGAGAAACACGACCCCCCCCCGACCTTTACCTGGCTTATGGAGGGTCTCTCTGATGAGCTGACCCCACCACTGGGTTGTTTGCCCAGAAGCTGAAGAGGAGGGGTAGGGGGAGAGACAAGCTAGTTGCCAGGCAGGAGATATGGGGGGGGGGAGAGAGAGAGAAAGGAAAGAGATGAGATGAATCCCTTATTCTGACAAACTGTCCAAAGCTTGAAGCATCAGTGTTGACCTAGATCTCTGTGCGTGAGGAGGGGGGGGGACGACGACTCAGAGGCTCCTCCTCCTCTGTCTTCCCTCCTTCGCAGGCGCTTTCCTTTCCTGTTCCATGTGGGAGAAAGACAGGTCTGCTGTTTGAACCGGCTCCCCATCATAGGTGGGGCTGCTTAGCAAGGGGTCTTTTCCTTTCTCTTTCCAGGCCCCCCAACAGCAGTGTCATTGAGCTGAATGGTGGCTTGGTTGTTGAGCCATTGGGAACAAGGAACAGGAAGTGGGTTGGAGCTGAGAACAGGGTTGCAATCCCCTAACACGGGTTAGTTTCCCCCTTTAGGTACCCTTGTGTAACTAAAGGGGGAGGTTAAAAGGTAAAGGGACCCCTGAGCATTAGGTCCAGTCGTGGACGACTCTGGGGTTGCGCGCTCATCTTGCTTTATTGGCCGAGGAAGCCGGCGTACAGCTTCCAGGTCATGCGGCCAGCATGACTGAGCCGCTTCTGGCAAACCAGAGCAGCGCACGGAAACGCCGTTTACCTTCCCGCCGGAGCGGTACCTATTTATCTACTTGCACTTTGACGTGCTTTCGAACCGCTAGGTTGGCAGGAGCAGAGACCGAGCAACGGCAGCTCACCCCGTCGCGGGGATTCGAACTGCCGACCTTCTGATCGGCAAGTCCTAGTCTCTGTGGTTTAACCCACAGCGCCACCCGTGAAAGGAGGAGGTTAAGGTCCTGCAAAGGGTGGCCTTCCTTCCCAAGCAAAAGCGGGGAGCAGTTTTCATCTGTGTCAAATGGCTGTGAGTACATGATCCACGGTTCTGGGTTACTTAATCTGGACCGAGGGAGATGATGTTATGAATGCAGTGAAGGAACAGCACTCCCCACCACAAACATACATCTTGGCCAATCTGGAGGTACAGCTACGGTGCATAAAATATATCCAGGAATGGATGTGCCCCTGGAGCTCCAAGCTGGAGCAGATCTAGGCTGCAGAGACAAGCTGGGCCAATGCTTCAGGTATATGTCTCAGCTATAGTAAAGTGCATTGGAGAGAGAGAGAGGGTGGGGGGAAGACTTCACTTTGAAGGAGGTGCACAGAGGAAGCTTGTCCTCTGTTGAGTGATACCCCCCCCCACCCGCATTCCAGTAGACATAATTGAGAGCCTTCTTGATCCCCACTGCCTGGGGGCATAGATTCAATTGTAAAGGAGAAGCGAGGAAAGAAGTGACAGACCTTACAAATGAAACTTGGGTGGGGGGAGATATTGACTTGGTTATCTCTTGGGTCCTTTAATGTGCTCTTGTTATGCTGCTGAGCACAGGAGAGGGGTGGGGAGCAATGTTTTAATTTCCCTAAGCAAGAAATCTTGAGCCAGGCCTGTTGGGCAAAATAAAATGCAACTAAAAGAGATAACGTCCAGCATGCCTGAGTGATGCCTTTCAGAACCCCATCCTTCTCCCAGTCGCTCTCCCCCCCCCCATGACAACCTCCTATCCAGCTCTGTAAGTGCCCATCTTGACCTTGCAAAAATGCATGCGCTTTGGATTGCCTGTTGGCAAATCTCTTTTTACTAGCTGCCTGCCTGCTTTGCCTTGGCAAATGCAGGCATTCTCTCCACTCCACCCTGCCCCCCCCCCCGCACTCCAGCCCAAATTGGCCCCTGGCCTCTATTGCCTGTGGCAGTGGTATGGCCTGTCTCTTCTCACCCCACCCCCATCACTATGGATCACAGTAGCTTCCCCTTTTCTGGATGTCTTGCATCTCACAAGGATCCTGAGGAGGAGCAAAGATCTGACTTACGGGACTCTGCTGATCTGTGACCCATGTTGTTCAGGCCTGGCAGCCACTTGCCCACGTGTCTCACCCGACTCGTTGATAAAGGGGCTCCGTAACACTGCCTTCCTTCCATTCACAGTCCTTGCACTTGCATCCTTCGGCTCCGCTGTTGCCTTTTAACTGATTTGGGAGAAGGGCTGTGCATGCAGGTACTTCTCCCTGTAGGACTAGGGAAGACTCCCCTCCTGAAACTCTGGACAGCTGCTGCCAGTCAGTGCTGACAATACTGATTTAGATGGACCAGTGGTCTGACTCAGAATAAATCAGCTTCCCTGTAAGAATCTGCCTCGGGGATTGAAAGGATTGGGGGGAGAGGGGAGGGACTGACTTTATCTCATTCTTGGGCCTCCAGGCAAGGATTGGAGTTTGCTGGGGAAGCCCTCGCTGCATCTGGTCTGTGCTCACAGCCCTCCTTCTCTCTTGTTGTCTTTCCCCTTACGCTTCCTTGCCTATTTTTAATTCTCCACTATGTCCTAAACTTCCCTCCCCTTTCCTCACTTTCTCTTTTCTGTATCCATCTGTCTCTCTGCTCCAGCTCTGGGTTTCATGCTGCCAGGTAGCTTGTGTGTGTGAGACATGGAATCGGGCCAGAGTCCCAGGTATTTCCCAGGTAGGTGCCAGACTTGCCTCTGGGGTGGGAAATGCCGCACAAAGATTCCATGGCACGGCCCTGTGGCCTGTGGCCTTTAGCCTTTGTTTCAGCTCCGGCTAATGCAGTTCCACTTACTGATCTGGGCTGGAGAACCCGTGGCTCTTTAAGATGTTGGGCACCACCTCCCATCCCCCTGCTTGTATGGCCAGGGCAGATAGGAGTTGTGGTCTACAAACACCTGGCGGATGACAGGTTCTCTGTCGTCAATTTATTGCTAATTCTTTTCCCCACTTCCTCCTTTTCCACTGGGGAATCTTGTCATGGTCCAGCAGAGACATTGCAGCGAAGATGCTCCTAATCCCTCATCCAGAGGCTTCCCAGATTCAGTCATTGCATGTGGCTTGGAATTCCTCTGCGTCAAATTCCAACACAATCCTGGGCTTCATTGGACACAGTTGCGCAACAGCCAGCTTCAGTCCTGATCAGCCATTGAGAGGATTTGCAGATGCAGGTGACAAGCTACGTTGTGACAGAAATAGTGAATAATAGTGGTCAGGTGGCTGTGTTCTGAGCTGCAGGGTCATTCCAGTGAAGATTTCTGGGAAAGATGGTGGCACAGTCAGTTAACAAGGACAAAACGCACAGGCTCCGTGGGGAGCACCCTTGCTGCGGTGATCACGGGGCATGGATTGTCTCCAACAAGAAGCGTTCAGAGGCAGTGTATGTAAAGGAGAGTTTAGAGAATGGCAAGGGTGCCTGTAATGTCGGTGATGAACTATGCTAGTAAGATGAGTGAGTTGGTATGGGATGAGAAGCTGGTGAGTACAGGGCAACAGAACAGCAGTGAGTGTGCCTAGGAAAGGGGATAATAGTGTAAAGAGCAATGACAGCCACTAACTGGGGTGGGGAATGCCATGCAGTGCCAAGGGGCTGATCAAAATAATGTGCTGTGAAAAGCAGTGATGGAAGTCTTGTGAGTAGTGTTGGTGCCTGGCAGGGCAATTGCGGGGCAGCAGATCTACCCACTCTGCAACATCAAGATGGACCGTGGGATCCCACTTTATCAAGTGTGCTCTTGGGGCAGCAGCTTGGGCTGAAATTCAGCCCCTTTTCTTCCAAAGACTTAATGCTTTATTATTATTATTATTATTATTATTATTATTATTATTATTATACTACTACTACTACTACTACTATTACTACTGCTATTGGCACGAAACTTTGCAAGTTTATATCTTCCCAGACCATTAGATTTAGCCTTGTACACATAACGTAAACTGGGGTCAGCAAACTTTTTCAGCAGGGGGGCCGGTCCACTGTCCCTCAGACCTTGTGCGGGGCTGGACTATATTTTGGAGAGAAAAATGAACAGATTCCTATGCCCCACAAATAACCCAGAGATGCATTTTAAATAAAAGGACACATTCTACTCATGTAAGAATCACTGATCCCTGGACCGTCCGCAGGCTGGATTTAGAAGGCGATTGGGCCAGATCTGGCCCCCAGGCCTTAGTTTGCATACCCATGACGTAAACTGTCCAGTGCGTCTCAGTGTGCAGTGTGTTAT